CTGAATGATTCAGTTAAGGAGAGGGATTTTCTTTTGTCAAGTACTGTAGCAGCACCTGATTTGGAGAGGTATTTCCAACACATTTTTTAAAATCAAACTTAACTTTTAATACCCACACGTTTTCCCCTCTGATGTTCACTTATTTTGCAGTCTCATAGAATAGGAGTGCTATGCTACAGCCAGAACAAGAAATGTCGTGGGCAGCCATCACAGACAAAAAGGGGATCGTAATCCTTTCTAGGTAGTAACCTGTCTGAGTCAGATTTTGTAGATGGTACTGTTACAGGAAAACCCAGGCTGAGATTAGAGACCCAAAACTTGTATAAGGAACTTTAAATCTCAAAGATTCAGAAACCTGTGGGAATATTTTTTTCTTATCTCAAGCTTCACGAGATCTATGAGGGTTTGAAGCCAAGCAAAATTCATATATAGCACTGAGAAAGGCGAAACAGGTATTTCAGCCAGGCTATGTTTTGGTGTTGGTCAAGCCCCAGGCTCACAGCAGTGATGCTGGGTGCCATGCCACAGCTCTTGAAACAATCCCAAAATTAATGGAGCTCTGTGTGAGCTGACACATCTACATTTTCCTCAGCTCCGTCTGAGACTCATCTACAGCAGCATTTCTTTTCTTAAACCCACCCTCTTTGGTCAATTTTGATGTCGGGAGTGGGTTCAGCCCTAATTTTAGGCATCTTTATCCCAGCTAGTCACCCTTAGCTTTACCCTTGTTGATAAAGACTAAGAAGCACTTCCAAGGTGCAGTTGAGCCTGGTTTAGATGCTTACATTAGGCTGAGGTCAATCATACCCGAGATTTGCTCTTAATACAAAAGGAGGACAACTCTGAGGCAGAAGCCCACACTATAAAAGTTCGTATCAGATTAATCCTGCTCTGTTTGATTATCAAGAAAGTCTACTTAGTTGGAAGAATTTCAAGATGATGTGACATGTTTTGATACATAATCCCTCACATCTGAAAATCTCTCCTTCCTTACAAGTCTAAAGGAAATGTTGATGGTTGTTGATCTTAACACTGTGCAAAGCAATTGGTTTCAGATTATTCAAATCTGAATTATTAGCAAAGCAAATTTCTGCCTATTGAATCCAAATATAATTGATGCACCAGAAAGCTTCTGCTCTAAGCTCCATTCCTATAACGACCTTTGCTTCCTCAAATCATCATGAAAATGATAGTGGCCTTTGAAAGGAAGAATTCATGTAAAGCAACCCCCAGTGCTTTTTAAGACAAGGGCCAAGGGCAGTCTCAGGAAAAAGCGAGGTTAAGATTCAACTGGCCGGCAGAGACTGGGCTTTAGTTCCGTCTCTCAGAGGAGAAGAAAGAGCAGGACTTGTTTATTTAGTCCACCCCTTTGTTTAAGCAGCAACATGACAAGTTATGCAAAGGGACCAGTTTATTCTCAACTAGATGCAGATTGCAAGAGTTCATCTGAGATATTTTGGTGTTGGAGGGAAGGATGGGAGGGACAGAAAGGTTCCAAGGCCTGGCTATGGAAACGCCCCTTTGGCTGGTTAATGGAGCAGCAGAAGCGCTTGGCACAGAGGCAATGGGTGGCTTCACCTTCTCAGCTGGAGGAGCAGCCCGCAATAGCTGCCATCGTGGAGCACAACGGCTTATTAAAGGCATAAAGACAAAACTGCACTTTATTTCCAGAACAGAGGGGCAGGAAATCCTCCTGACCCTGTCAAGGCTTTACTGATCTTAATGGGTCTGCCACAGAGAAAAGCTGTGCTTGAACAGCAGAGGGGTGCTGCTCCCGAGGGATGAGTTCAAAAACACTAGCTCAGAAACATTAATAAAAACATTTCCCACTGTTTCTTCATCAGAGCTTGAAAGAAACAACATACTGCAGAGCACACTGGCAAAATCTGTACACTGAGACCATAAAATACACATACGCTCATTTCTGTAAACTAGTAACTCAGAGTTTCTTGGAGAATGGATGGATTTGTTAAGAAAAAAACAATTTCTGGCGTAAGTAAAACCCATAAATAGTGCTTAATGCTTATTTATAATCTCCTGGAAGATTGTACAAATGAACAAAATGAGGTTAATCACCAAAGAAAATTGCCAATGAAGTAATACATCTTTTGTTAAATATTAATTATATTTAATTTTTCCCCATCACAGAATTTACAAGTTTGTCATGAATCAGGGATTAATTTGGAGGTTTTTATTTATCCTCTGCTGTGAATGGATCACTTCTCAGTGGAGAGCGAATGAATTTATTCTGCATCAGCTTTCTGCTTGAAAAGAAAATCCTGAAAGAACAGGCAACCTTTGCCAGAGAAATCCAGACCAAGTGAAACATTTCATTGTTCCGGCTACTAGATCCTAATGAGCTCTGCATCTAAGCGCTTGTCATTTTGTGTTTTCCACCTGATCCTGCACCAGTATAGCAGTTTCTACACTTAAATGTACGAGACTTGTTTTGGAGGAAGATTTGTATTAATGGAAGGCAGCATGTTCGATAGTTTCAGTATAACATCTGTTATTATCATTCAGTGCTGCTCTTAGCCCAGCATGCCCTTCCTCTAAATATCTTATTAATTAAACTGGCTTAGCAGGAAAATAATTAATACTTTAAGTCCTGTACCTACTTAGAAAGGATTTGGAAATGGAAAAAATTGTTTTAGTCAGAGCTTCAAACTGGAGGGGTGTTTTTTTTCATTCTTCAGCAAAAGCGGATTACAACTAGAAGGGAGTATCTGAAAAACCTGTGTCTTCCAAAGACATATTTTATCTTCAAAATTGTGCTAGACTGCAAAAATAGTCTGTGATTTTGAGAAGTCTTGGGCAACTTTGAGTGTCTGGCCCAGCCATTGTTCTGGGAAAGGCACTCCTGCACTTCTTCAAAACGTCCTGCTAGCCCTCTGTAGCAGTCGGTCCCCTGAAAGCCTTAACTCCAGCCCACAGAATTGCCATGTTTCTTACCATTACCGTAATAATGTGGTAGGACTTCCTAGCCATGAAGTCAGTAGTAACACTGCTGCCTTGCAGAGCCAGCTGTTGAACAGGCGGGACGGTGAACCCGGGTGGGTGCCAGTGAATTTGTATGTAACGTGGATCTGTTACTTAGCTATTGAAGGTGAAGTGCAGGAACAGCGGTATTTTCCTGTGTCTTTGTTTTGTGAGCAGTGCTGCTGCCTGTATGCAGAGACTGCTGCTCTGCTGCTGTTCCCCCAACCTGATTTCCCACTGAAGTACAAGCTCAGACAGGCTGGGTGCTCTCGGCTGCTTACACAAACACAAAATCACACTTTCCCAGACCTGTTGGAAAGGTGTTGGGTGCTGCCAAATTGCTCTTTCCAGTCAGACAGGGCTTTTTTTTTTTTTTTGGAGGGGCTGAGGGCATCTGTTCATAAGAAACATGGGAACACGTGGAAAAAACTTTAAATGCCATACCAGAACAAGGCTCCTGAAGAGCAACCAGAACCAGAGGCAGGAACCAGAGGCTCCTGAAGGCAACCAGAAGAGGCAGGTTGGGGGCAGTCTGCAGCATGACTCCACAGGCTGATTGTTGGGTATTTCTTTTCAAAAGCATATTAGAAACTCAGAAATCAGAATTTCATTAAAAGCCAGTGAGGAGCCTCAAACACTCCTCGAATGGGGCTAAGGCACTCTGGAAAATGCAGTGGCTGTTGCTAACAGCCTCTAAAGTAAAACTACCGTGTAGCTGGCTGATGGATATTGGGACTTGTGCCGCAGCAAAGGGATCTCCCATTAATTCTGATGGGTGCTGAGGGTGTGCTTAGGGGAGACCAGGGGTTTTATTAGCCACTGGCTGTACCTACTGACCTTCTTTGTCCCAGAGAATACATGTTCAAAACTGATTATGAAAATGGGGAAGCTCAAGTTTATCCTATGGAAAAGAGTGAAGCGGAGCTGACCTTGTTCATACGAAGCCATACGTATCCGACAGCAAATAAGTGGCAATGAGTGCAGTGTGTCAGTATAAGCACAGCTAATTCATCAAGTACACCGTGCCCCTGCGGGAACAGCCAAGCGCGCAGCAGTGCCAGGAAAGGTTACACCCTCATGTTTTCAGGGTTGGAGAGAGGGCTTCCGAGCTGCTTTTGCTTTAAATCTGCCTTGGGCAGACTGGAGAAGCTAAATCCCAGTTCATTTGTGTGTGTGTGTGTGTGTGTGTGCATCTGCGCTGGGTCTGATGGGGGAGCATATGGCAGAAGCAATTCGCCCTTGACCGTGCCTCTTTTTTGGCAGGCGCAGACCTTTTCCTCACAGAGCACGCGCAGTCGCAGCCGCTCCTGCACATCACTTCTCGTGCCCCGTGCTTGCTGGTTTTCAGCTCTTTGCCTGAATGCATGTCCTTTGTGGTGTTTTGGTTAATTGGACATTGTTTTAATTACCACTGAACTAAATAAACATGAAATTTCTATCTGTCGTTTTGCTGCCCCAGTGACCGCGGTCTCCAAGCAGCCAGTACGGGACTTGGGCTGTTCAGACCTGGTGTAAATCGCAGTGGCTTTCACGGAGTTTCCTTAATTAACATCTTTTTTTGGGGAAAACACCCCTCCAGGGAGTAGGAGGCTCCACTAAACAGCTCTTTATCTTGCCTTGATCTGGTGTCACTGGAGCTAGTGGCAAACAAGGCTTGGCTTCAGGGCAGCAGAGGTGCCGCTCCTCTTACGTGACCACATCTTTCATTGGCGTGATCCTTCACTTACCTTCTTTCTTACCTTTCCTTCTCTGGCTTCTGCACTAATTGCCTTTTTCTCCCTTTGCTGTCTCTAATTCTCTTAGGTTGTGTTAAAATTAAGCAACGGGAGTGCAGACATGCCCTCAAATTGGTCAGTCAATAGCCATTTCTGTCAATAACGGCTGGTCTACAGCAGCAGACAGATGCCCTGGGCTGTCAGTAGCCTTTATTTGGAGACAGTAGTTTGCCACTGACTTGAAGAGGAGAAACAGCACTGTTTAAATGCCTTAAAGGGCATAATGGCTTCTGAAACATTCATTTGCCTTCTTTTCTATTTATATTGACCCTTCTCCTTTACTTACAGCTTTGGAAAGAAAAATATCAATGAGGCAAAGTAGAGAGGAGCTCATAAAACGAGGAGTGCTGAAAGAAATTTTTGATAAAGGTAAGTGTTCTTCTTTTCACAACATTAAATTTACATCCCATATAGTTTTATGGCCAGATACTACATTATTGTAGCATTTAAGAACAGAGAACAGAGTCCTGCTTTGTAGGACTGTGCAAAATAATGTTTCCAAATATCTTGTTTGATTTCACTGTGCACTGGCCCTCTCCATTGGATAAATGTAATAGTTACCTAGGAAATAAAACTGAAAGCTAATCAGAAAGGTAAAGCAGTAGAAATACAAGTCATGGCAGCCTGCAGGAGTCAATCGCTGCAAGGCAGCGGAGCATCCAGGCTGTGTGGAGATGGAGTGGGTCTATGTCCGCATGTGTTACCACTGTCTGGTTTAGTCATTCTTGGGACTACCTGTTGTGGAAAAGGGAAATGTTTCAAAATTTTGGATACCGATGAGCATGGAATGGTGCACATTCCCTTGAAACAGCTCTGAAGACATAGTAATTCCTTGTTCAGGATAATTAATTTTTTTGAGTTGGTAATGTATTATTTATGCAAAACACCATTGTTATACAGTAGTAATGCAACACGTATTTGACATCTATTACACAAGTGTCAGTCTAACTGTAGCTTTTATTTGTTTTGCGGCTTCCCTTGTCAATAACTAAGTCAATGAATTCAGCAAATTACGTAGAGATATGCCAAAGTTGTGTCTTAATTTCAATACAACTTATGTTTGTGCTTTAAATCCTCATTAATCCAAAGTCTAGAAGTCTTTTAACAATACCAGTACCAAACCTGTCAGAAGTCAGTAGAAGTTCTAAACCTTCACAGATATTAGAAGTGGGGTCCACCTCATAAAGTCTGGAGCACTTAAATCTGCTACCTACTTTTTAAGTGTAGCTTATTTGGAAAGGAGAGATGATTTAAAAATTTACTGTCCCGAACCATTTATTTTTTTAAGTGGAAAAAAATAAAAACCATGGCAAAACCAGGAGAATATGCTGCTTGTCATTAAGTTGTACAGTTTTTACCCATTATGTATTTTAGATACTTCTGGTCCTTTAAATGTAGCACTGCCCTTGCTCTCACTATGGCCTCCTGGCTTGGGAGTCATCCTAGATGCACCTTCAGGGTAGAAACAACTCCTGACAAAAGATTTGCCTTCTCACTGCTTTGGGTTTCCCACATTTTGCAGCGTGACTTGGGTCGGATACACACCCATGAGGTGGGCATCCCCATGGCCAGCAAGGCATGGCCCAGGCTGTCACAGCCAGTGTGTGTCATGCAGCCAGTGCATGACAGCCCAGCGCAGGTCAGGGTGTAGCTCCTCGTCAGTGCTCTGGCCAGCTTGGGAGTCAGCCTTCAGGCACACCACCATCCAGGGAATGCCCTCCTTCATCCCTGCCTTGCATGTCACACATAGCTGCTTTCTGACATGTCCCTACACATACCTAAAGGCATCCCCAGGAAAAACCTTTCCTGTGCAGCCTGACCCTGCCCTCCACATTGCTACCAAAGTGTTGCAGCTTTGCCTGTTCATCAAATAGTGTTCTAGTTCATAGTCTTCTGTGTCATGTTGTGAAGCAGATGCTAAGCTCTGGGGAGCTCCTCATCTGAAAGTTAATTCCTCTTTATTGTCATTTTTCACCTTTTAATATCAGAAAAAAGCTTGTACAAAACATGTGCTGCTTCATCCTATTTCCAGTGTAAAAATCAGAGACATTAGACTTTTTTACTGTCAGGGCCGCTAAAAGAGAAATTACAATGCAAAACAGCTGGACTTCCTGTTCAGTGTCCTACATTATTTCCTGCTGGTTGCAAACACAGGAAGCTAAGAATTGGTACTCCTCCTCAAAGGGAAGAATTAGGGTAGAGAAGTGGTAATACACAAGTCTGGTAGCAGTGATCAAGTAGCCCTGATGATGCAATGATAGGAGAAGTCGAGATTTGTAGAGCAAAAGCAACATTGCCTTCAGTGGTGTAATAATCCAAGAGTAATTCTAATACAGGATATCTCACTGCGAACCTTAAGTGGAATTAACATTTTCTGTGTAATTCCTGTTAGGTGATCTCTAATTCTTCAAGAAAACACTGCAGACTTTAGCACTTCATAGCAGAAGGCTTTATTTGATGAAGGTAGCAGCCTCCATGCCGAGAGGCATCTTGCACCGGTAATAGGTTTAGCCATAATGTTAAATCTTTGCCTCCCTTTCCTAGGAGGTGGACAAAGCATTAGCCTGTGAGTGAGTAATTTTGCCTTTTTCTTTCTTAAAAAATCCATAAAGATCAAAGGAAACTTAATATGGATAGACTGATCCAAGAGCAAAAGTTCTGGAGCTTGCAGTGTGCTTATTACTGGTTCTATCCTATCTTCTATGTTGAAGAAAAGCAGAATTAGCAAGTTTGATCGCCTGCTCTATAAAATGACACTCTGACCTGTTTGCTTCAGGGTTTGCTGGCTTTCGCAGGAGCTCGTGTCATCCAGCAGGTGAAAGTTAGCAGAACGCAGTAAGTCACAATGTTCACACATGGGAGAGTCACTGCAGTCCAGCTGCTATATTTGGGAATCAAGAAATGCTTTTATCACTTCGGTGATCCCCACACTTAGACTAGTCAAGTGAAACCGCTCCAGACTGAACTGCAGAGAGCTAATTTCTTGGCAAGGGACTGACTCACGACCAAATCAGTTTCTGTCATCTTCCATTTCCAGGGTTCTGTGACTTGAGTCTTCTGAAAGTGTAGGCAAAGGTTGTAATTTTTTCAAATACTGTGTACTTCTGGAAGAATAATAAGTCAAAGAAGTATCTGATGAGGCACCTGCTGTTCTAATGGTTTGTGGGCAGGCAGCACTGAGAGGTTAAAAATACATCTCCCACCTGCAACTCAGAACATACCACAGCATTTAGAAGAACTCAGTTCATTTTTGCTACACCACTGCTCCCACACACAGATAAACAGCTTCAGTTTTCACATGAAGTTGTAACCGTCCCAAAAGCATCAGTCTTTAGAACTGCCCACTGTTCCATGCTGCCAGTCAAAGGATTAAATCTACTTGTAGTGTTTTGAGACCTCTAATTTTATCTGAACGTAGATGAGATTGCCTGTAGTGAGAAATTTCTGAATATGGGTGTGCACGGATCGCTTGCTTCAGAGACGGTGGTGCAATGGTTCTGCAAGGAAACATGGGCAGTCTTCATCTTTTATGTTTTTATATTTTTGTGCTATCTAATCAAAACCATGAATTTAGACCCAAATTTCAGGCTAGCTAAATCCTGACAGGATTTGGAAGTGTTGCACTTTCGTGTTAAGGCAGGTTTTGTGGCAGCATGTGAGCGTAAGTTTGAAGAAGTGGCTTTGGTAATGCAGCAAGGAGGAAGGCACGGCAGCCACCAGAGAGCCGGTTGTGCTGCGGTTTCAGTATGTTGAAAGGATTTTAACTCCTCCAGAAGTAGGGAGGACAACCATATGTCAACCTGTCTGAAACTCCGCAGGATCCCACACAACTGGGGGGTCTGCTTAGAGCCTGAAGTCAAGAAGGATCCTAGCCACTGTGCTGAGATAGCCACCAAGGCTAGGAAACAGCCCTGGGAACAGGTCTTGACCACATGCAAGAACACTCATATTCCATCTCCCTAGCCCATGGGGGCCATGGCAGAGAAGGACATGAATTCTTCTCTGCCCTTCCTAGCCTTTGCCATCAAGAATGCTTGCCCGGACAGTCTTACTTGAGAGCAGGCAAGTACTGAAGAACTAAAGTGGAAAAAATCCCAGGATTTTGAACTCTCCTCATCATTTTGACTTCCTTAGCCATTTGTCTGTGGAAGGAGCACGTGAGTGTGGCACTTTTCAGACGTGCAAGGAGCAGCCCAGTCCAAGGTGTTCAGAGTAAAAAGACGGGGTGAGAGGGTAGGGAGAGCTCTGACGTGAAGAAACAAAAAAAGGACTGGTCTGTACCAGTCAGCATGATGCCCTGTGGGCTGCTTTGCAGCAGGCAATTTTTTAAAAAGTTCCTGGAAGTGGGAATGGCAGGTGAGTTCAGGAGTACAAACCATACTTAGGGGCTTCAGGTTTTGACCGTGTCATCTGTGCATTTCTAGGCCTTCACCCCATGCTGGCTTTTTCCCATGCTAGGGTGAATTGGAACTGTCTGCGTAGAGTCCTCTGCATCAGAGCTTCCTCTCAGGTCCTGTTTCTTCAGTCGCTTCAGGTGTGCAGAGCCTCCTGAGTAACAGAAGAGCAGCCTTCCTGTGCTTCTGTTGCTGCAGAGGTCAAGCTACTGTCTCTGTTCCTGTCCAGATCCAGCTGATTCACACTCAGACTGCATTATCACAGCTCATGCATTTAGGGAAAGTCGTTCTCCACTAAGTAGCAGCAGGCTCTGTGGAAACACAGCAAAGGATTTAGCAAGTGCAAGAAGAAAAGATTACGTATGTTATCACTGTGCAAAATTAACTTTAAATTCATAGCCAGTTCCTGAAGACTAATCAGTTCATCCTTGTGTATGTTATAATTACATTACCAGGATTATTTTCTTTTGTATGTCAGCTATCCAGAATAGCTTTTAGTACTTTAAAAATAATAAGTAATATGCCTTTTATATCTGGTTGTCAAGCATGTCTCTGATCCAGGATTAATTCACACAAAGATACTCTTCATTCTACAAATTATTTTATCCGCATCTTTGATCTGTTTGCTGTACTTGAGCAGCTCCCCATGTATCTCTTCTTTAAGCGGGATCTGATTTAGTGTGTATATTTCAGTCATGATTCTGTGTCATGTCTGATGATTTCAGTCAAATCCAAGGACAAGTTGTAGGGCCTAAATGAAGATTGGAGATAATCAGAGGGAAGATTTAAAACGGTTATGCTGTCAGTACAGAAAGCTGTTGTGCTTGTTGTTATGACAAGAAGTGAAAGCCAAAATTTTATCTCGCGTTTTACTTTTTTGCTCTCATAAACCTTCAACAGGTCATTTGAATTCTATCTTTCTAAATCTTGCCGAATGTACCTTAAGAAGTGCAAGGCGCACTTAAGGCAGTAAGATTTCAAGGTGCTCAGCATGTTATGATAGGTATCCCGCTTCATTAAAGATGTGCAGATATCCCTCCAATAACTAGATGTGACTGGTTTTATCATGCATACTTTTCGTCTGCGCACAGTTATGGTCAAATTCAGTCTTGCTCTGAATTAATGAATATTGCTGGACACAATTACTGCCTTTCATTTAAGAAACAATTGCTGTGCATAGGAAACAGTTACGCTCCTTCATGAAACCAGGTAACTGAGACAACAGCATCCCCTATCCCAAACACATGCGAAGGTGTGTGTTTATAAGAGAGAGAGAGCACGGAATACATAGCATTTCCCCCACACAGCTAAGTGGAAAAACATTCAGCTTAAATACTGGCTGAACTGTTGTTTGATTTTTGCTGCCTGGGGAAATAAATGGGTTTGTATTGAATGACCACAGCAGTTAGAAGGAGACTGCTGCAAACAATTGGCCAAAATCCTCAGTTTTGATTAATGATGCCACCTTTTAGCCATCTCGGTTGATTTCTCTGAAAGCCGTGGGTCGCGTTTCAGTCTAGTATGATGTGGCTGTGTACCATAATAGCTCTCTAGGTCTTCAAAAGGCCTCCAAAAAAAACAAGAAAGTCAAGACCTTGGTATTTCTAATAATTCCAAAATAAGCAGGAGACCATCTTCACTCCCTGTAGAGAAGCTTTGGAAGGCAGAGACGTAGTTCTGAATACTTATCAGCTAACGTACTTTCAGACTTGTTAATTGCTGTGTCCTGATGCTTAAGTGAGGCTTAAATTTTTTTCAGTATCGTTTACCAAAGTGTTAACACACATCTTAGCCCTGTGAGGGGAAAATGTGTGCTCATATGAATGATCTACGTCTCTGCTTAGTACATTCAGCAGTGATATGGCTAATCAGAGGTGCCCAAAAATCAATAACCAGATCCTGAAATCCTGAGTTTGACTTAAAAAAATAATTTAAATGCATAGTAAAATTAGGCTCCATTTGTTTGCCTGCTGGTTTTTAGCCTTACAGGTCACATTCTGGTTATATTTTCAGGCTTCCACTTGTAACCACAGAGGCTGAACACTTTCCTTTATAAAATCATAATTGAGATATCCATGTAGTCATTGCCTCCAGGTACCAGAGTGCTGTGCATAACAAGTTCTGAGATAAAAATCATGCAGGCTGGCACCATAGAGAATGATCTGATCCCTCGCTTCTGTTCTTTATGATGTTTAATGTGAAGTGGCGTTTGATAGGAAAGAAACTACCAGCTGCTGTTACAGAGATTTTGCTCGGATAGAGAAGATATTATTAATAACTTCAAAAAATGACTTTTGAAATGGAATCTGCCATATTCCAGTTTCAAGACCTTACATCAGGCAACTATAAAAATTATTCTCTCCTTTACTTAACCTCTTGATGCTGGGAGCTGTAATATTTTTATTTGTGTGTAAGATCGGGACATACTTCTGTGATTTGCTTGTGCCCCTTATAGCATAGAATTTGGTGTAAGGAAAGAGAATAATCCTTATTATTATTGTTAAAATATTATAAATTATATACTGTGTATATTAGTATTCTTTAAGAAAGCTCCATATCTTTAGTTTCAGCCCATTCGTATTCCTTACTTCCCAGCTTCAACAGAGACAGAGGGAAACCAGATTTTGTGGTCCTGCATGGGGCTGCATGGCCCCATAGATGGGGGATGGTCAGGAACCATCCAGCTTAAGCCATGGATCGTAATGACCATTCTAGGGTAAGCAAAAGATCAACACGGACATTTGACAGATCTTTCCCAAATCTAAATAACCCTGTAAGGGAAGTGAAATGCTGTCAGACTTCTGTGAAACTGTTGTGGACAGAACATCACAGATGGACATCTCAAAAAATTGCTCTGCACGAGTTGTATTTTTGAGATACAAACCATATTGTTTTGATCCTTATTCCTGTGTCTTCTGTATACATACAAGATCCCAGTTCAGATTCCTCATTTGTAAGCAAGCTAACGGAGATAACAGATTTCATTTAAATTTCTTTCTGCATCTTACTTACGTGTTTTCTGTTGTCATTCTGCTTTCCTCCAACTATGAACAGATGGGGAACTTTCCATACCAAATGAAGAAGGAACTTTGGAGAATGGGCAGCCTCTGGGCTCCGGGCAGGTGCTGAGCTCCAGCCAGGTATCCCTGCCAGCCCTGGCAGAACTGGAGTCAGGTCCAGCATCTGGGGAACCCTGCTCATATGAGGTGCTCCCGACCACAGAGATCATGGATGGGACAGGTAACATCTCGTTTATGTTATGATATAGGAACTCTAAGCTGTTTGAAACAAGTTTCTGACTTCTAATGTTTGGTGTCTAGCCCTGAGAAATCCTTATCGAAGACCAAGGTCTTCTAATGGAGAAGGAGGTGACAGCACACAGATTGTCACTGCATGCTCCATGACAAATTTTGACTGACTTGGCGTGGAAGTAACCTCTACTTCTGCACAAGCAACCTACACGCTGTCAGCATTTAAGAGCAGATTTCTAACTCTCCAGCTACACCTCAGCTGTGCCAATGAACTCTGGAGCAGAGAGCTGACAACATTTTCAAACCCTAGGGTACAATGTCATGCCCTTTACCTGCAGCGTGGTGTTGGGTGATGTTCACACCACACAGCTTTCGGTCACTAATGCAGCCTAGGTGAGGCTCCCTGTTGCTTCTTCCCCAGCCCGTGCAGAGAGACAGCAATGCTGTACATCTAGGTTATCTCCTCCTCCCACATCACCTAATGCTGAATGAAGGTCAGGTGAGGAAAAGTGACCGGTAGAAGTGTTATCCATGATCTTGCATAGCTCTGCATCCACTTTGGAATAGTGTAGGCCCCGTGAGGTGCTTTTACATTTATAGGATAAGTTTAAAGACCACCTGCTAACATTCTGGTCCTGAACAAGCTGTGGTGACAGACCATCTGAGATGTGACATTTTAAGGCTCTTGATTTGTGTTCAAGATGTGGGAATACGTCCCAGCCTGACATAAGGGAGCTGGCTTCTGTCAGAGGTAATGGGAAATTCGGCTGTTGTGTAGATGTGTGTTTCTCTTTCTCTGTCTTTCTCTCTTTCCTCCTCTCCTCCTTTCTGTGTTATATGATGTTTGAGTGAAACCTTTTAGTCATTCTTAATCTGCATTGCTGTGCTGCTTTTCTCGTCTTACTATGGCTGTATCCGCTGCTGCTTTGCTCGTAATGCTGTTGCGTCTATGATGTGGTTGTGTCCTCCAGTGTCTGAAGAGAGCCCCACATCCAATGAATCCGGCGTCCTCCTGTCCCAAGATCCTACAGCTAAGCCAGTCCTGCTACTTCCCCCCAAAAAATCTGCTGCTTTCCCTGGAGACCATGAGGACACCCCAGTGAAACAGTTGTCCCTCCTCAAACAGCCCCCTGCCCTGCCTCCTAAACCTATTGCCAGGATTGCCAGCCACTTAACTGGTAAGTAGGTGTTCCTGGACCCTCAGCACCACCGTTTCCCTTACAGGAAAAACCTGCCCTTACAAAAAGGTTCTGTGTCCTCCCTCCTCCTGTAACACTGTAGCACGTGTTGTTGTGTGTACCAGTAAGGTATCTGTGTTGTACCTCAGACAGGGATCACAGAGCATTTTCACTTTGTCAGGGTTGCTTCAGGGCACTTCCCCTCTCAGCTCTAATTACTTGAGACCGCCACTGCGTTTCCCTAACCCTCCTTGCTTGTACTCATCACGACTTACCGTCACCACAAAAATTGCAGGATGTGCTTTGATGGGAAAGGAAGTATCAGGAAAATGCTAGGATATCTTTAAATGCCTTTAATAAGAAGAGGGATGCGAATTGAGGGGAAAGGGAGAGTTTTGCTTTCTCCTTTTGCTCTGTTGCTTCTCCTCTCAACTGCCATCTGGGCAGGTCGCCATGCACACACCCTCTATCTTGCCAAGTGTTGGTCTTTTACGTGCCCCCCTGATACTTACACAGGCCATTCTGTCCCGTGGCTTCTTGCCATTTTCTTCCCTGCTCGCACTGCCTGCCTAACTGCTCACCCTTTCCACCCCTGCTCTGACTACTCCCACTGCTGAATCCTGATGGTGATGGGCAGACCCATCCGGATGACCAGGATTTTGGTGTCCTGCAGTTTATGCTGCAGTTTCTCTCTCACTGCATGGCAGCTAGCAGCAGTAGACAATACAGGCTCCATTTCTGTGTTCCAGATGTTTTCACAGGTGTCCAGACTCTTTGGTATTCAAAGCTCTAGGTACATGTAGAAGGAGGATTGGTAGGTCTCCCCTCTCCAGTCTCTCAATTAGACCACTGAAGCAAAGGATGGCTACATCTACACAGACCAAAAAAGATTCCCTAAATGCTTGCTGGCACATTTTGAACAGTCTGCTCATAATTGCAGCTGCTGCCCAAGAGGCAGCACCTCAAAATCCTGAGTTTAGATCCTCTCTACTGGGGCAGCTACCGGTCTTCACACTAAGTTGCTTATGTTAATGCTGCCCTGATCTTCTCAGGGCTGATGTGAGAAATGCTCAGTCCACATTAATACATTCTGGATTTTTTTTTCCTGACAGTTAATACCCATTTTATTCAGGTTAAGATATGTATCAGGAAAGAGCTCATTAGGAAGGACCGTGCTCTGGTTTTCTCTCATATCTCCACGTAGTCTTTTCATGTTTCTGTTGAGATGACCACACGCTTTTGTTCTGTACAGTTTTGTTCATTCTATGTGAAATATCTTTACTTTCTTGCCTGCCGAAATCTACACATAATGGTTAATGTCATGCCTTATACTAAGTGGGCCTTAAACTAAGTGGGCAGGTCTGCAGCCTGGAAAGCCAGGCAGCAGTATTAATGGCTTCAGGTGAGGACAAAACCAGCTTCCTATGATCTCCCGTAACATTCTGTCCCAATTACAAGAAGCTGTTCAGAAATGAGGCCAACACAGAAGAAATAAAAAAAGTAGGAATAGCATAGGAAAAAAGACAGGTAACAAATGTCCTTCAATTATAAGCCTTTCATTTGTAAGAGACAGCAGAAGAATCAGAAGAGGAGGGCTTCTGCTGTAGGTTTTTTTGCAGCTGGAAATTTTGTATGAAATAGAATAGGGCTCAGGCTATCAGCATAAGACAGTTGCTTGTTGGTGACGACTTTCCAATGAAAGTGAAACAGAATGGTGACTTCTCTTAATTCATGGGGGTCTTTAGTGGTCTCTCCTCCAATCCTATGTAAACTATTGTATGTGCATACAGACAGACTCTTGTAGGTGCATGTACAGAACCCTCACAGAAGAGCAACAGAGATTCAGATTTTGTCATAGGGCCCTAATTTAGTTGACAGTTACTCCTGATAGAACTGAAAGCCTCATTTATATATACCTTATAAATAAAAGTACTAAACTTATTCTTAAGGGTCCATTTACTTTGGTGGTCTAAAGGATATATGTGTTGTTCAGTGCTTTGTGTTCTCCACTGGCAATTATTTTAGCTGTGTATAATCTTTGGAAATGAGCAATCAATCCTAATGAAGCACCCTCATCAGTGAGAAGCAGAATTAACGCTATTCTTTTGCTAATTACTCCAGAGACATCCTCAGCTTGTGTGTGAGAAAACAAGTGAAATCTGAATTCTGGAGTTTGAAGGGAAGACATTTCTCTTTGTGTTGCATACTCGTTTTTCTACTGAAGATTTTGTGAGAAGGTTGAAGGAGAAATTAAGACATACTAGGCAGGGCTAATGGAGAGTGACAGTGGTTTAGTATTCTAGTAGCTCTGTTCAAGGAAACTGTGAGGGGAGATATGATCTTCTGAAGGGTTCAGGTACACATCTGAAAATGCAGAAACACCTCTTTTCTAAGATGTATATATATATGTGTACATAAGTATATTTAATAGAAACATGTTTTATACAAATATATACTACAAAATCACTACAGTTGTGGTCAGCAGCAAAAAAAAAAAGAGGGGGGGAGGGGAGTATAATATTTTAAATACAAAACTTGAGGAAAGAAAAGCTTCCTTTGAGTCTGACCACCTTCTTGCTGTGAACTTAGCCCAAAGTTCTTCAATAAAGGCATCAAGACTGACTTGCAGGGTTTGGCAAAGGACTTAATACAGGTTTTTAGAAATGGAAAAGAAACATTCCTCATCTCTGAAAGCATTTGTGAACCATCTCAAACACCTATCTGCCTGTGCCAAGACAAAAATTGGACTTTCTCTCAATAAGAAATGCACATAAAAAAGCAGGCCTAAAATAAACATCTAAGAGCACATTTAATTTTGGGGAGAATGAAAAGGAAAAATCTGTTTTAAAGGTGACAGGAAGAGAGAATTGCCTCTAGCAAATAGAAATCGCACAACCTTGGCATCCTTCTTCTCAAGGCTGAGGATGGGGCACTGCAGGAATAGGGACCACTGCCAATGTGCTCCGTGCTTTGCCTCGTGCCGTCTCCCATGCTCCTGATGACAGTGCCTCCACAAGGAATGTCTGTAGCACAACACTGGCTGTGGAACTGCCCACACAGCACTAGAAGACAGGCAGCCCTAGGAGAAAAACATGATCCTTAACTGTTTTGATACCACTGTTTCACTGCTCTGCATTTTGCTGTTGGCCTTTCACCTCGCGGTGAGCCTAATACTGTTTTTCAGATATGATTATTTTTAGGCAACGTTCACGGGCAGAATTTGTTTCATCATTTTAATTCTCCAGTATCCACATGCAGAACCCAGACATTTAGGACAACGCTTGCACCCCCCCTTACTTGACTGAAAATGTAGGACAAGCTGAAATAATCACCTGGGACTAAATTAATTGGTCTGCCGGGGTAAAATCCCCAGATTATCATAAAATCTGTAATGGCCGAAAGTGACAAGAAGACTGGTCATATCTGATTTGACAGACAATACACCCCAGTGGTGTACAGCTCCTTTTGATCTTGATTCATTAAGCTGTTATTTCTCGCCAGCACAGATGATATTTTCTGAAATTAATTAGGTATTTTCCATTCAAACAACTGAATCACCAGTAACCCACGAAGTGCCCTAAAACATCAGAGAACAAAATATATTCCACTAAACTGGGATCTCAGCAACACCTCAGAGTATTTAAGCCTAATATTTAAGCCTAGTATTACACTGAAGTGTAGTTTTGGTTGTATCTTGCCACTCAGCAGTTGTATTTATGTTTTGAAAAACTTTTTACATTCTCTTGCTTTCTTCATTCAGGATTTTGGGGAGAGGCATAGCATGTTTTCAGTTCTGACATTGGGCCTCCTAGTTATATCTCTGTAGAGTAAGAGCTAATTCATAATTAGAGGCAAACATTTAACAGGGTAGGAAATGTTACAAGTCCCCAAAAGTTACTTCTGATAATGCAGACAAGCCAGGGATACAAAGTGGTAACATGGATGCCTGATGTCCTGCTGCCTTGCCACAGCACAGCTGATCATTAGTTACAGCATTATAAAAGTATTTACAGCTACAATTTATCCAGTAAATATTCTCCTCAGTGTTTTGTAACCCAACAGTGACAGGTGTCTCAGAAGGCTCCTCTATAGAGGAGCCCAAGACATTATTCACAAGCTTCCTGCTCTGTGATGTTGACTCCTGCTGCCTGCTCTGGCAGGCTACATTTGTGAAGACAGGTTACACTTGTGTGAGGGCAATGGCCAATTCTCTTTTCACTGCATGCTTGAGGGAGGGGCAGCAAAGCCAAAGCAGCTCTCCTTCACCAGCACCCCCAGACTCTCATAACAAACGCGTCCCTGGTGCAGGGGCGCTCTCTGTACTGCCTCTGCCTGCTGCTTCCAGGAGGGGGGAGTACATAGCACGGAATCACGGAATCACAGAATCGTTTAGGTTGGAAGGGACCTTAAAGATCCTCTAGTTCCAACTCCCCTGCCATGGGCAGGGACACCTTCCACTAGACCAGGTTGTCCAAAGCCTCATCCAGCCTGGCCTTGAACACTTCCAGGGAGGGGGCATCCACAGCTTCTCTGGGCAACCTGTTCCAGTGCCTCACCACCCTCTCCAGGAAGAATTTCTTCCTGATGTCCAATCTAAATCTCCCCTCTTTCAGTTTAAACCCGTTACCCCTTGTCCTGTCACTACATGCCCTTGCACAAAGTCCCCCTCCATCTTTCTTGTAGGCCCCCTTTATGCCACAGGAAGTCTTGTCTCTAAAACTCCCTTCAAGGCTCTGCATGGGAATTCATGTAGAGCTGTGCTTTTCAACCTTTAGGCTGAGCATGCTTTGCTTGTGTTCTCCAAATTCAACCTTAACCTTGGGTGCATGCATGGTGCAGGACAGCAAAGAATTTCTGTCTCAAATCTTCCCAGAAGACAAGGCTGCAGATCTTGCTGTAGACAGCAGGAGATGCATGGCAAATCTTTGAGAACACATTTTAACTTGTCTCTATGAATCTGCTCAAAAAAATATCATTGAAAGAAGAAAAGAGACTCCTGCTGTTCGGGCGCAAGTGATTCCGGGAGAGAAGACCTGAAGAAGTAAAAGCTACTTGTCCAAATGCTACCAGCAAATATCAGGCACATCACCTCATTTCCACTATGGTGCTCCCTCCACAGGCCATGGTGGGTTTTGCACATTACCTTACAGAATTGATTAGTTGATGGAATTTAAAAAGTAACTCATTAACTTTATGGCAGCTTGTATTACTTGTATATAGTACAGCAAAGGTCATAGTGTAAGGTCATTCAGTTGGGAAGGGACCTCAGCAAGTCTCTAGTCCAACATCCTGCTCAAAGCAGGGCCAGCTGTGGGGTCAGACCAGGTTGCTCAGGGCTTTGTCCAGCTGGGTATTGAAAACCTCAAAGGATGCCAGTGGCACAACCTGGGCAAACCTGTTCCACAGTTTGGCTCTTCTCAGGGGGGGAAATGTGTTCCTAACAATCCAGTCTTGAACCTCTCTTGTTTCGATTTTTGCCCACTGTGTCTCCTCTACCCACCATGCAGCCCTGTGAAGAGCCTGGCTCCACCCTGCTGGTAACCTTCTCACAGCCACTGGAGCGGTGCTGTTAAGTACCCCACCTGCAAGCTGTCTTATCTCCAAGCTGAACAAGCCCCAGTCCCACAGCTTCTCCTCACAGGTCTGGTGCTCCAGCCCTTGACCGTTGCGATGGCCCTCTGCTCAACTCATTCTGGGTATTTGATGTCTTTCTTGGGGGGTCCTAAGTTTGGCACAGTAATCTAGAAATACTCCGAGGAGTGCTGAGTAGAGGGGGGATAATCCCTTGATCCCCGGCTGTGCATCTACTCATACAACCCAGGAGGCCATTGGCCTTCCTTGCTGTCAGGGTACAATACTGGTTCCTGTTCGGCATCACAAGGAGGCAAGGAAAAGCTTTTCTGCCACTGGCAGGATAGCAAGCACAGCCAGCTCTGCCACAAGCCCAGGATTCCCAGGCGTGCCTTCTCCATGCAGTAGTTGTGCTGGGGCAGAATTTGAGGATTTTAATGAACTTTTCTACCAGTCCCACTGGAGCAACATTTGCTGCCGTACATCCAGAACTTCCCAGCACCCTGTCTGCAGCAGTTGTATCTGCAACACATGCCAACCAACGCTCCAGCCGCGTTCACGTCTGAAGCATCAGACTTGGTGTCCAGCTCCGGTCTGCCACAAACACGTCAGAAGAACCATACAAGAGCAACCCTTCTGTGCAGCGAATGAAAGCTTATTTATCTATCCCCTGAAAGCCTAGAAGGAAATGCAACAACTGTAGGCGTTAGCAAAATTATCTGTATGGAAGGTGTAGGGGCTGAACTGTTTGTCATAGGTCTGATGTGCAGCAAATATTGTGGCATCCACAACCATCTTTTCAGTAGTTTATTGTCATCAGCAGTAGGAAGGTTTCTATGTCTAACATCTCTTTTCTCAATTCCGGCACAGCTATTACTTAGCCATGCACAGGGCTGAGTGGTCACCACCCTGCTGGGAGCCAACATCTTGCAAAATTGCTCATTATTCTCTTGAGCATGAAGAACCTCAGCCAGAAGAGGTTAATCAGACTTGCACACCTGGTTTCACACAGTTTGCTTCCCTCTGTCACGTGAGTGCTTTGTGCAGTGATTTAAGGCTCTGGTAATGTTCCCCTGAGAAGACACTTATCACGGATTCCTTGTTCATATTTCCACTGTACAGCTCCTTATTCATCTACAGATGGCCATGTCTGGTGGATATTCCATGCTGTAGACAGTAGCTGGTTCCACCCCTGGTTCACACGTCACAAACATCATGAAATTAAAACGAACAGAGGAAAGAACTGTAAAACCCAGTCATCTCACTCTTACACTCAGGGACAAGTTGTTCTCTTGTTTTCTTCAGATGATGGTAGCACAGTTTCCAAGAGCATGCCTGGAGCCCGTGGATTTGAGCAAGGCCCCATTTCTTCAGCGCACTCGCTGATCTGACCACTCATTAAAACTGACAGTACAAGGTCTCCGTTACTGATGTCAGTGAAGACATGCTGATAGGTTTCCAAGCGAATGGATCGAACTCTTCTCCTGTTGCAGTCATTTTCCTTTTAGTCACTTTATTTTTTTTAAACAGGCTAGTGGAATTCTCCTGAAGGTGAAAGGCAGACAAGTAGATTTAATGCCTCTTGTTCGTTTTCAAGGCTCTGCTTAGGTATTACGGCCGTATTCAGACAGGCTCAAGAGCTTGGGTGAAACACAGTCGGTCTGAATAAAGCCTGATGTTAAAAATAACGGACAAGATTTCTGGCAGGTGTCCAGGGGAGTCACCCAGCACTGATACCGCTGGAAAGATGTTGATGGGAAGGATTTCTTTTAATTTAAATGGAAAGTAAAGGTTGGAACTTTTGTTGTGAAAAGTGGAAACCAAAGAATGAACATCTGCTTCATGATGGCGTATGTGGTTACTTGGGATAATTAAGCTAGACTTTTCTCCTGTGCAACTCCAAAGCTGCAGTCCCTCTGTCACAACTCTACTAGATGAATGCTTGCATGAGAAAGGAAACTTTCACTATATTTTAGAATAGAGATGGAAGGATTCCTCTGTGCTTTATAGCCGAACCATTTAGCATGTTATACTCACTCCCAACACAGAATATTGCTCTAATCTTCAGGATCACAGAAGGCAGCACACCCAGTTGATGATACTTCCAGTTCTTCTTTTCTCAGAAGCAAGAGACGCCTGCCGTTGGGATCTCTTTGAATTCACTGTTAAGGATGACTCCCCTGCATCATGCACAGAGTGATGGGGCATGCAGGCACAGGCACAGACGTTAATTGAGATACAACAGAAAAGGTTCTAAAACTAACAGTCAAACCAGCACTTTTCAAAGTGGAAGTACAGATCTCAGTGTAGGCTTTGTAATTCAGGACCCGTTCTAGAAGTGAAACTGCCTGGAGCACAAATTTCTGAAAACACTTTGTTACTACAAATCCCATAGGAGCCTTATTCTCAGGGCTTTATACAATTTACTCTTTCTGTTATTTACCTTTTATTGAAGATAGTGTGTTCTTTTATGCAGGATACAGAGAGGAAATATACACAGATAACGTGTATATAAGAAAAATACAGTAACTTGGAGATCTTCCTGTGCTTGAATAGAAAATCCTGAAAGTCTTTTTTTTGCTAATGTACAGAAGGCAATCTGCTTTAGAAGTGAGGGCAGTGCTCTGTGATTTGGCAATCCCATGAGTGAGATTTCAGCCTTGGTGGAGCCATCAGAAGAATATTTGCCTTCAAGAGACAACATGATACTGCACTGAAAGCCAAAGGACTTGGGTTCTACTCTCTGTAACTCTCCCCCTCTGCAAGGTGGAAAGACCACTTTCACTCCATGCCTCTCTTTCATCTTTGCACACCCTTTGCCTCTCTTGTGTCTTTAGCCTATAAGCCCCTTGAAGAGGGAAGACTCACTGTCTGTGTGCTGTTCCTGGTGTAGTAAAAACACTAGTATCAAGTGGATACTGTGGTTGCAATGATGCTGTGACTAGCACTAAAGTAAGTCTTATGTCAGATCTGAGGTTGGCTTCATGCATGGTCTTTTTCCACATTAATCGTTTTCAAGAAGTGTTAGTGCTTGGAAGTCCTAGTGTCAGCCTTGTGCACCATGGCTAGTAGATATGGCTACCAGTATAGGCAGTACCCAGAATGGGCCAGTAGGGAGGAAGGAATAAAGGGAGCGAGGGGAAGAATACTAAATGCTAAAAAGAACCATCTGGAAAAGGTCTTTAGAAATCTGATACTGCTCAGGAGGATGATGACCTTTGAAACCTGGTGAGCAACATCTTACTCCCAAGCTTTCTCAGGTCAAAAGAAGATTCTGGCCCTTCACTTCCTTTACCATGTTAGAGCAAGAAGACCGATCTGAAGCAACGAGAGGCCAAAGCGCGTGCAAGCCTGGCCTGCAGAGCGAAATGTCTAGTATTCCAGGCTGAAAACAGCCTGGCCTTCCTTCTAAACGCAGACTCACAGTTGCAGCTCACAGCATATATATTTGCTCTCATTTTTGCTCTTAGCATGTGTTGTGACCGTTTCCCACACGCGTCTTAGGAACTACAAGCCCGTGCATTACTTTTTCTCCCTTCTGAAGACATTCTACAATGCAACTCCAAAAATCTTTATCCTGCAATTGAGTCCTGGCAGAGAGGTTTGCTTGTGGACCTCTCATTAATTTCCCATGGAAATTGGGAGAGTCTTTGCCTGGCAGGTCAACTATGTAATTCAATGAACATGCCTAGAGTTAAAAAGGTTAAAATGCAGTGCATGAGTCCAGAGAAAAGTGCCTGCCAAATCTTCTGTAAAAGAATACATTAATCCTAACAATCTTCTGCCCTTTATTATTTTCTCCTCCTGTACCCTGTGTTTTTCCAGACCACTCCTGTTTAGTATTCAAACCCTATTTCTTTTCTCTCTTGCCCTATAATGTGATTTGTAACACCATAGTTTGCACATTACAAAGCTGTAAGAAATGTGACTTGCAGTAATAACACTGCAGTGGCCAAGAAGGATCAGGAATCCCTGAGCTTGGCTCCAGCAGTGATGGCAGTGAGTCACCCCGTAACTTCAGATGCCAAATCGCTCTCCCCCTGTTTGCGTGCCTGTTGAGCGGGAGGCATTGCTCGTACCTCACAGGGCTCTTCTGGAGGATTAGGGCTTTTAAGTATCCAAGTGTGCCACTAGCTTTGTTGAGCATTGCATAACGTGTTTATTAAGGGGCATGCACAGCCCTGGGATGTTTTTTGTGAGACTCAGCGGTACTTGTTCCTGAAGACAGTGCTGAGCACATGCTACGCAGAGCTGTCTGTCACAGCAGGGAAGGAGGTGCACATTCCCATGCTGACTAGCAACCTCAGTACCTGCTCACCTAGGCAGACACTCTGATCTCCATCTTACTGCCATGAAAATTAACATCAAGGCCTCTCTCTCTTCTGTTTTAGATCCTGGTGCTCCTGTGAAACTGCCTTGTATGCCAGTTAAACTGTCACCTCCACTACCTCCAAAGAAAGTCATGATTTGCATGCCTTTAGGGGGGCCAGACCTCTCTCTCGCATCCTATTCCACACAGAAGAGCTCCCAGCAGCCTTTGACTCAGCACCATCACACTGTCCTGCCATCCCAGTTAGCAGCTCACCAGCACCAGCTCCAGTACGGCAGCCACAGTTCTGGGTCCAGCACGTTGCCCATTCACCCTTCGGGGTGCCGGATGATAGAGGAACTCAATAAAACGCTAGCCATGACCATGCAGAGACTAGAAAGGTAATGGATCAGCTTTTTAAACTACCTGTTGATGTGCACTGTTTGCTGTTAACCTCAGTATCAATGTCACCACTTGAGTTATGTTGATAGTACTGGAATCTAGTCCCAGAGACAGGGA